CTGGGAAGGGGGTTTTGAAACGTTGACACGCATGAGGCTGGTGAATTTTGGATTACTTAAGTGGGGTTATCATGATGAGAAGGGCCTCTAAGATGAGGCTCAGATAAGTTTGAAAGCTTATCAACCTTTGAAGATCTCTCCCAGCACTCTGCACTCCTTCATCTTCATATCATAAATGCCTTCTTCATCTCTGATTCAGTGTCAGTTCTGCAAGGCCATGCCTACGATCTTGCTATAGCAGAATTTCAGCTCCAGTTAAAATCGAGCACACCAAGAATCCCCCAATGCTTAGTGTCGATGGCTCTGAAACCTAACGATCCCCTCATCGCCTTGATGCGTCAGGTGGGCGTGGGGGGCTCTGCTCTTTTTGGGGAGAGCTCTGCAGCAGGACTCCAGGCATAGGACACCCTGCCAGTGCTGCCTCCACAGGCCTCATCCCAGGGAGGCTGAACCCATCCTGCCTGACCACGCGGACAAGCGCTAGCTGCTAAGGTAAGAACAGAGGTTTCCTGCCGCCTGTGGGAAAGGAAGCACCCAGCCCCTTTAGAGACGAGGGGGTAGGTGGGTTGGGGACAGCACCATGTCCTCCGCAACGTCGGAGAGGCCTGAACGCAGGGAATCAGCACAAACAGCAGATGGACGGAGCTGGGCATACCCTGATGGCTCGCTCTAGGTAGTGGAGGCAGCTTGCTCTGTGGTGCAGTACAGATCTGGGAGGGCTGCAGGTAGCTGTGGGGTTTTTGTGCACAGTATTATGGGCTCTTGGTGACCACTCACCCCTCAGTTGCTCTAAAAGTCTGATTTTGGGGCTAACTTCCTACCAGTGTGAACACAGCACTACCCGTCTGAGTCTCTCCTCACTTACACTGTCTAACTCCACTGATTCCAGTAGCATTACTCCTAATTTATGGCAGCAAAAATCATCTCGCATTGTAACTTTAGGTTCCCAGCAGAACAGTGATGAATCTGGCTGGGTTTTACAGTGCTCCATTTCACACTGGCTACGAACCCGTCCTAAGTTTCACAGGATGAGAACTGCCCTGGCCGGACCTACGTGTGTCTGCACTGCGCAGATGACTTCCCCTCTGCTTTCTGTTCACAGGATGGAGGCAGAGAACCAGATACTTCTTCTGTGCAGGTTCTGGGTAATCCTGACTTTGTCAGGTTTTAAATTGTAAATTCAAATCATAACTTCACTGCATGCAGGGAAATGCCGGTTGATTCACGCCAATGTAAGAGCAGGCCCTGTCACCGCCGCCTGCCACCCCTGCCGAGGGTGGGTGTTTTGCTGACTGGCTCAGTATCGTTCATCCCTTCCAGCAAAGGCGAGTTGCTGTAGAGGTTGCGTAAAGCAGAGCTCCCAAATATGCAAAAGCATTCTTGACTCTTTGCCCGGAGCCCACCAGTTCCTTTTGAAGATTAAGGTACGAGTGATGAAGGCGATTCACCTCTGAGCGAACAAAGGTCGTGTGAAAGTATGAACCTGCTTGTGTTTTGCAAAGGGCTCGCGCTGACAAATGAGAGCAGCTTCCTCTGGAGCGGTGTCTGCTCTGGACAGTCGGCAGCTGGTTTGTGCTGACTTGAGTCAGAAACGCTCAAGTCAACCGTCTTGTAAAACCTACCCGGAGGGCATCTGGGCACACGCACAGCCGCGCCGCAGAGGTGTGACCCGCGTTCTGCACGGGGATCGTGCTTCAGCTGCGCCAAGGCCTGATGCTGCGTGGCAAAACCCAGCGTCCATCCTCTGAGTGAGCAAGCGGCAGAGGCACAGGATTTGCCCGTGCTGCCCTTCTCGCGTACCGCTACCATGATCAGAACGACTCTCCACCAGACTAACATCTCCTATGGGCATGCTGCTTCACCAGCGCCTCTTTTCTCTTTGGTTTGTCAGATGAAAGCACCAAGGGAAGGCTTTTTTGCAATTCCCATTAATTGTAGTAATTATTCAACATCTACAAAACTGGAAGTTTTCAAGCAACTTTAGTAACGATCACCTTCCAATATACAGTACCAAGTACCACTAATGAGCTGCTGAATGATCAGCCAGCCGCGTCCAGCCGAGGACAGGGCTGCTTACGGAGAGTTAGCGTGTGCTCTGCGGAGTTTGAAGGAAGTCCTGTTTGAGGAACCCTGCTCTGGTGTCCGGGATCTGCTGCTTGGCAGCGCTGGGAGCCACTTCCTACTATAGCTGTAGATGAAGGAACATTTCCCGAGTGCTCTGGGTGAAGAAGCACCTGCAATGACAGCGATGCGTAAAAAAGAGAAACCTAGCAGCGTGTGAGCTGAGTTGTGCAAGAGCTCTGGTATCCCCAGTGCTGGGTGGAGGGCTCTGCTCTTCACTTCTACGAATAACACCCAGTTTCTATGTCTTTATTCATGCTTATTCATTCCTTGCATCATCAACCAAGCAGCTGAGGATCTCAGCATGTGGTGTGGTTCTTCATCGCTATAAAGGGAAAAACAGCACCCTGTTTTGTTAGGACACCCACACATTGTGTTTGGAGATGCCCTGGTGCTGTGTTGGCTATCGGAGGGGATCAAAGACAGCAGAGAATTAAACTCTGCCTGCACCTGTTTTGCAGTGTGGAAAGTGTTAATGAAGTTGGTGAGGGTCCCCTCTGCTCTGCTTTCTCACCTATTTCCTCAGGTAGTTCCTTGGATTTGTGTAACTACATTTCTGATTGATGAGGCCGGTACTAAAACCCTAGTCAGCCAGTGTGAATATCCTGGTATCTTCAGCTGGAAAGTGCCCTTGGCCATAGAATTAGAGTCTAGTGCTAATGACTGGTGTGCACAGACTTTGGGCTAGCTCTAGTATGTCGAAGGTTGTCTTGATCGTACATTTGACTGTGATTCCTGTGCAAGGGATTACCCAGAGTCCCTGGAAACACCGAGGTGCTGGCTCCAAGCAGCCCAGGCATCAACAACTGCTGAGTAACCAGCCTTTAATAAAGCTGCTGCTTTGTATCAGCCACTGACTGATTTAATTGTGAAGTATTTCCTCCCCTGTAGTTCTGCTCATTGTGGTATAGCACAGAATAGTTCTGTACGTGTTGCGCGTTCTTGTGGGCAAAGGGCTCAAGTCGTCTCTAATCTCATGACTCTGAGTTTTGATCCAGTGGAATTTTCTTCCCCTCTTTTCAGGCTAGAGTGGAAAGGAGATGTGGGGCTTTTTCTAGCAACAGAGTGAAGACTGTGTGGATGGCTGTCTGTGGTGATGGTGTCCCCTTGTCCTTTTCAAGCACTGACATGGTATTGGATGGGTTTCTAATCAAATTGACATAAAAGACTGCGGAAAATGAAAGATGGCATTTCTCTACCATCTGCAGAAGGTATTTCTAGCCCATTCCTTTCCTCTTTAATTAATTTTGGTAACCATCCTTAACAATTGTGGGCCAGATCTTCAGCATGAATAAACTGGCCCAGCTCCGTTCCTTTAACTAAACCAGACTGATTTACGTTGGCTGAGGATCTTGTCCTAGCTTAGTCAGCAGAACAGCTCTCGGGGAGTTGGCATGTTGGCGCAGTAGGCTGCAAGCCTGGGATATGAGCTGGACGTGGCTCCAGAAAAGCCCATGAGCCCATTTGTGCTGCCGCAAGGAGCGGCAAGAGACCAGTGGCACCAGCGTGTTCTCTTGCTGTCTGTGGCTGGTACAAAGTCTGCGGCTGGGTAAGTTCAAATGCTAGAAATAATAGCAAAATTGTTATTGTCTGCTTTTCGAGCCCTTCAGTAACATCCCAGAAGGACTTAAGAATCTTAGAAGAAATAAACAGGGCAAGAAATATGAGTCTGACTAAGCACAAAAATAATGTTACTTGCGCTTGGCAACAATTAGCCAACGGGCACCGAGGGACACGATCCGCCCAGGCTGAGCCCAGCTCTACCTCCACCCCGCGACAAGCTCTGCATCCACACAGGAAAGAACTGCTCAACACAAGGAGACTGCAGCAGGATTTGTCCCTGCATCTGCCTCTCTCTTACCAATGCCAATGTCAGAGGGTCAAAATTCATCACAGTTCCTTGCGTGAGCTGTCCCTTGGCTGTTGAGGAACAGCTCCAGCTGTGACCACTGGTCCTGGCTGGAGGGACGGGTGGCAGGTCGGTCAGTCAGCGAGGTGTTTAACCCATTCCTCACTGAGGGTGGGTCCCTCCTCCCACTTTACTAGGCATTTCCTGATTACAAACTGCAGGATGTGTTTCTTCTCCCATTTTACTCAGCTTTACATCAGGAAAGCTCTGGTGAAGCCTATGGAGGACAGGACAGTAGAGGGGTATAAAACCAGGAAGGTTCTGCTGAGGTGCTCTGTAATGCTCCTGTCCAGCTGGGGCACAGAGGCTCTCTCTACTCTAAGAAGGTGTGCTTTTTTTTCCCCACCTCTCTCCCTGCAAGTGCTCCTCTCCCCCAGTCAAATAGAAAAATATTTCAGGTGGCATCTCTTGTACCAACAGACAAAATTATGTGATAGTTTTACACACGCACCAGAACTCACAGAACCTGTTTGTCAAACGCACTGACAGTCAGTAATACCTTAATGGCCTTTACATTGCAAACATGCTTTTATCAATCTTGCCTTTAAAAATAATATTGTAAAATATGGATGAACAAGTTGGATAAAGAGCTGGTGGTCAGGACTCTAGTGCTGCTTCTGACACGTTGCTGCTGTGTGGCCCTTTGGAGACCATTCAGCCCAGATTTGCAATGATATTAGACCATCTGAAGGTCTCGGGAGACGCTATACTCTGATCATATAAGAATTTAGACACTTGGTGCTCATCATAAACCTACTGTCCCCTGTTCACAAAAGGTCCTACATGCCATGTGCTACTGACTTAAGTGTCTTTTAGAAATGATGTGTGTCTTCAGGTGTCCACATGCCTTTGCAGGTGAGCTCTCCTAATTTCTGTGCTTAATTTTTTTTCCTGTTGAGTGGGCAATAGTGCCGTTGTGTTTTGCTATCTCTAGCAGTGAGAAGTACTTCAGAACAATTCTTATTTTTACCTGGCCCAGGGAACCCTTCGTGTGATCCGCTCCCTGTCCATTGCCCTGTGTTTGAGACAAACACAGCACTTGAGCAGTCCTGCTTCGGAGAGCCTTTGTAATCCACAAGGTTGTGCTGCCCAGGCCCAGGCAAAGGAGAACCTTTACAAGGTGGGATGGCTGGAGCAGGGAGATTCAAGCAGAATTTTTGCCTGTCAGGAGAAAAAGAGATTTGAGGAACTTGTCCCACACTGATGGGGTTTTATGTCTAGAACTAAAGGCTGTGGTTTTTAAGTGCCCTGGGGAGGTGGATGCTTTATCCTCCTAAGCCAAAATCTTTTGGAAATGATCTGGGGAAAAAAGGGTCCAATTGCAATGCCATAGTAGCCTGCTTTGTTTATTGTAAAATACAAAGACTTGCTGGTGGTCCAGCCTCTGTAGAGACCTGGCTGCTCCAGAGCAAGATAGCACTGAAACCAAGACAGCAATGCCAAGTAACTCCAACTGGGAGTTCCTCCCATTCTCTCCCACTGACTGAAATGGGAGAGGGAGCAGGCTCTAGCCCCAGCATCTGGGCGTGGAGTGTTTTTGTGTTTTCTGGTAATACAGACCGGCGATCTTCTCTCCTCATATTTAATTTGCCCTTTCCTCTATCCCTCTGTCCTTATCAAATGCCACTTGGCATTGCTTCCCTCCCAGCCTGCAGCTTCCCACTCTTTTTACAAAACCCCTGTTGTAAGATACAACTGCTGAGAGATGTAGTAAAGATACACCTGTTGGGTAAGGAGAGCCATGGGTTTTCTCATGTTCTCATTCTTTTCCATGGTCAGGAATTTATTGTTGATCTTAATCTTAGGCCAGGCAACGTCACTGCATGGTGACAATAAATTTACTTGAACAGTTTGCTGATAGGCAGATTTATTTGTCTTCTCACAAGGATACCGGAGGGGAGGGCTTGGGAGAAGGGAGTTTCCTTTCACGCTTTTTAATTTCTTTGAAACAAGTGGTAGGATGGAATATGCGGGAATGGCAGTTCTGGTTTGAAGGAAGTACTTGGAAGTTTTACAAGCCTCTTTCCATCACTAAGACCCAGTCTTAGGAAGGGCTGAGGAAATGTCCACGTTTTACCCATCAGATTCCTTGAGCTGCTGTGCAGCCACGAGCATCCCTCACTGTTCCTGCCCAGTGGTTCCCAGATTTGACTCTTTACGTCCACTGTGCTCCTTTCAGGCTGAGAATTAGGCACTGGCAATACAAAAAAAACCACAGCCTAGTGCTTAAAGCTTCTGCCTGCGACGTGAAGGATCTTTTTCCAGGTCATGTGTGCTCTGGCTTCTTGCTCTGTACAGAGGGGGTAAGAAATTACCCCTACATCATAAGGGTGGTGCAGTATTTAATTATTGTTTGTAAATGTCTGTGAGATCATCTGATAAAGGAACCTCTGATACACTGCTGCAGGGTGTTATCAACACACACGCCCCTTCAAGGCAGCGCACTACTGTAACACTTCCACCTCTGAGCCAATTCCTGTAAATCTGTGACAGTAACTGGCCACGTAGGACCAGGTGGGTAGTGGGACACTGCAGGATCTCTCTGCTGTCTGACACATTTTCATATGTCCCATGAAACTGGCAGGTCTTCCAGGCTGGACTTACCTGAAAGGAGCTTTCTTTGCTTCCCTGGTAGGTTTATGTGGCTGATAGGTTGCAGGCTCTGGAGTAAATCTGTCCATCCTTGTTAGACCTCGTTAGGTCTTTAACTTGAAGCAAGATGTTATATCCTTGGGAGACACCTTGATGAGGGAATTGTTGATGTTGTGACCTACAGAGCAAACAGGAAAGGGATGTAAATACCAAACAAGGCCGCAAGAGTGGCACTGAGGAAAGAGAGTGCATCAGTCAGTGAATGTAATAGAAGGAAAAAGAACCGGTATAACAGGACTGTGGGGAAATCACTTCTGGATTTTAAAAGTGCTGTCCTGGGCAGAGCTTATTTCGAGGGACACTGATAAGGCAACACTAAACTTTGTCCTGAGCATAGGAACAAATGGAGATATTAGCAATTTAAAAGAATCCAACAAACAGGAGGAGAACTCACATGTGGTATAACTTGTAAGATAAGCTGAAAGTTACGTGCCCTTACGCTCCAGGTCTCAAACCTCAGCAGGCAACGGGCCAGGAGTAGACTTCTTTTGCAGCTAGAGTACTGTGGAGCTTGGTACATTATGCACCAGTGTGGCTTCTCCTGAAGCCTCTGGCGTTTACACTGAGTTGTGGGGTGTTCTAGTGATTCCTTACGGCTACTCAAAACTGTCAGGATGGTTTCTGGATGGTTGTCTCAGCAGAGATTCAAAGGCATCTACCCACAGTTCTTGGAAGGGAGACTCACTCATGTCCTGACACCTGCTTAAATCTAACATGCCTTAAAAGAAGCTCCAAGTGACCTGAATTTGTGTGCAATGGTGCTCTGCACCCTGGAAGATCAGAACCAAAATAACCAGCAACATCCTTCCTCCCAGCTCAAGGTTCACGTACATGGAGAAGGCCATTTTCCAAGTTTTTCCAAATTTAATCCTCTTGTGGTTTTGGACGTAAACACTGTCTGGCCAGAAATGTTGTTGCTTTGCTTGCAGAAATCCATAAAGCTCTGTTTCAGACAAAGACAAAGGGCTTGTGAATGCCTTTGAATTGACTTTACCTGTGGGTAATTACCAACAAAGGAAAACCCACATTTAAAATCCAGTTGTCTCCATTGTGAGTGATTCTAATGATACAGCTGTAGGCAGTATTGGGGCCAAAATCTGGGAGTGCTTACCAATTGTAGGTAGGTCTGTTTCTCACTGCCCAGCATGTAAAGATTGCTTTTACACACAGACTGAGGACTTGAAACTCTTGCAGAAAATGTGGCTTTGTGTATTTAACTGCTGTCTCCAGACTTCTCCAACCTCAGCTCTAAGTGTCCACTTTTGTTCAAGTCACCAACTAAGCACAGAATTTGAGGTGGTGCTGCCAAGACACCAAAGGGGCATCTGCATGGCAGCCCCCTGGAAAGCGCTACAGAGAAAAGGAGACGTCTCTGTGGCTGTCGCTGCTGGGACTGCAGGGTGGGCTGATGACTTTGAGCTACGGATGACTTGAAGAATCTGTATTTCAGTTCATTTCAGCCTGCAGTTAACTGATGGAGTGTTTATGCCCTCCTACAGCTTGCACCAAGCTCAGCATGCAGCGCTGTTGTCATGCTGCTAGCGGTCCCTGAGCTAATTAACTTGGACAGAGGTGCCAAAAGTCCCTGGGGGAGCAGGTCGTGCTGCTCTTCTGGAGCGCTCAGCTACCTGCTGCAGTCACTGCCCTGGTGCACGCTGCAGCTCTTCTACAAAATATACATAGAAACACATTTCACCCACAGCTCCTGAGAGCATCACACTCGAAAGTGAGAACTGCTCTCCTTACAGAGTCAAACCAGCTGTGGTGCCAAAGGTTCTGTGAGCTCCCCAGAATCACAAAGGGAAAGATTCTTCAGATTCCCAGGATGAAGCCTAACCTCCTGGAACATGCTCCACGATTCAAAGGTTTTTATTGCTGGCCGCTGAAATTGACTGTTTCTAACCAGGCTATAGGGCTATAGTTAGAATCAAACAGTCAAGGCTAATTCACCAATGTAAGTGGAATAGTCCAGTTCATGCACAAGAGTGAGGAGGTAGCAAGAAACCTGCATAAAAGATTTAAAAAAAAACCCCAAACCTGATGCTTTTTCCCTGTTTTTTTTCATGTTTCTTATATCAGCTAGTGAAATGCCTACAATAATCATGATGTCTAACTGGCTTTATTTTCATATAGGGTTTGATTCCAGAGCTTTGAGGACAGCTTGGGACACTATCATCTTGTTTCTCACCCATTTTTTTTCTCCCAACATTCATCAACTTTCAGCTGTCACTGCCTCAAAAGCAGATCCTCCAGTTACTAGACAAAAGTTCCTTTTTGCCGGAGTGAGAGCAGTGACCATGTAAAGACTGCAGGATCTGGCCTTCTTTTTCTTCTCAGATGTCTCTTTGTCTATAGTCATAAATTATCAGACACTGCCATCTTTTAAATAGATAGTTTCCTGTTCTGCTTCGTGTAGGTTAGATATTATCTCCTACAGTAAATCATGAGTCAGTGATTAATTCAAGAAGGCCGTTCCCAGAAGCAAATTCTTACAATGTTAAAAATAATATGATGCGAATCCATTATAGTATGATATAGAAAATAATTATGGCCTGCAAACTAGTTTAATCAACTTAGAACATGCTGGGGCAGATACTCCATCGGAGTGAGTCATTATAAGAAAGTTCACTGTCTTAGCGTATAGGTCGTGTGAGCGAATACGATTACCCCATGTCAGCTGAGTCTTGGTAACTCTGTATGTGTGCTCTTTGCACACCCAAATTGTGAGGTAAGACATGTTTGTTTAAAACACCTTTGCTGATGTTTAAACTGTATCAAATTACTTTATAAAAGCATGAATTACTTCAAGAACATGCATGCAGCCAGTTAAGATGTCTCAGCTGATGAGTGGCAACTTATTAAGCTTATTAAATCATGGTGTCTTCATTCGGTCTTAAACAGCTACGCAAAGTCATCAAATATTATAAAGAGTCAACGTGCTCTGGCTCACCGCACAGTGGATGTATGTTGCATTAAAGTGCAGTTTAAAAGGGGACAGCTCACTAGGAAATGGCTGCAATGCAGGCATGCTGAGCAGAAAAAGACAAAAACTCTCTCTAAAGAATAACAAAACAATCCAAAAGTAATCATAGCTATAGCAAGACACCATTGAAGGGACAGGAAAGTTCATTAGTAGTGCGTATATTATTACAAACTATCTGATAATTGTTAATAACACTTTGTGTTTTGTTAAGGTCTTCCGTATCTCAAAACATTCTGAATTCCTGTGGACTGAAGCTGACAACACCCCAGTGAAGGCTGGTCACCGTGGCATGGGTGGGGAGCATCAGGCACAGAACAGTTAAGTGACTTACACAAGGGTGAATCAGCAGGAGATTCAGGAATGGAACCTGAAGGCTAGGGCCTCAGCTGATACAAACTGGCGCAGCTCCACAGCAAGTGCAAGGGCAGAGTCATTTACATCAGTTGTACGTACGCAGACCTGATTCCCAGCTCTGAGGTTGAACCTCAAAACCCTGTTACAGATGTAACATTCACCTGCCTTGAGCTTCTTGGCAAAAGTTCCCTATAACCCATTAACACAGGCCAGGTTTATGGGATGAAAACTCACGGGATGCTATGGGGTCTTTCAATATCAAAGCCAGTGACGTGGCAAGGACAGGGGCTGCTGCTGTCCCACGGTCAGGGATGTGTTCTTCCTCTCTTGGTTTTGAAGAGTTACTGCCTGATGTGTGCTCAAGGTTGACAACAGCCCGGGGTACATCTGCAGCACAGTCAGAGGTGAGACAGCAGATCATGCGGAAATACCTGACCTAGCTTTGTGCTCATTCCTTTAGGTACTGGTGCCAAATTACCCACAGTGGCACAGACCTCAACATCGTCAGGCACGGGATAAATAGCTGGTGCAAAGCTCTGGGCTGTTGCTGCTACCCTGAGAGCTGTACCCAAACTAGGTAGGTTACAGATAGTTCTAGCGTTTTCTGGAACATCAAATGTCACTTCACAAACATTACAGATTAGCCGTGCCCCACCACCTTGTCCTCCCATCCAAATCTCCTTACATAGTATTGATTGGGTGCTGGAGTGGGGATTTTCTCAATCTTCCTAGCAATGGGTTGTTGAAACATGCTAGAGTTTCCCTTGCTAAAGTGTTGCTTGGACTGAAAACATGACAAGGTCTTGTAGGCATTTGCAGCTGGATAGCTGGAGATTTTCTTGCATAGAGTGCATGGAATCTGGAAAGAGAGGGAGCAAGGAAACTGTCAGTAGCTGAGTTGGAAAGCAACTGTGAAGTAACTGTGGCCTGGAATTTACCAAATGTAATTGTAAAGGACGAATCACCTTTTGAATTTTAAAAACAGTAGAAACTTGGCTATACAGAATTGACGGCTGCAAGTTCTATGAGATGAAATAGGGGCAAGAGTGACTTTTTCAGGTGCTAAGTTTCATTGATTTTTTTCTCTTTGGGGTGGAGATGCTCATCAGCTTGCAAAAGAAACCTTACAGACAACCTTTAAGTCTTGTGTTAGAGAGCACAGATCCTGAAATTATCCACTTTAGCTATGAGTTTCAGATAGCTTAGTACAGTATTCTAAAAGAGTCCACAAAGTGTATGTGTATGGATCCTTCTTTACACTTTGGTAACTTAACAACAGCTCTGCCAATCTTGCTTGAAAAGGTTCATGCAAAATTAAAAAGGGCCACCTCTGGGTGAGACTGAGCAAAGGGAATTTCAGCCTTAGTAGAAATTAAAAGGTAAGAGCATATGAAAGAGCAGCTTAGAATAGCTGTTGGACTTCCATCTTAATTACAACTGGCTGATAACAAGAAATTATTTTCCTTCTTGGCTGGATTTTAGAAACATCCCAAATAGAACACTAAATAGGTATTTCAGACATACTCAACAGAGTCAGTTAAAGGCCAGATCCACAGTCCACTGAAGTCAATACAAAGGCACCAGGTGACTTCCACAGCTTTGGAAATCAATCTGAAATAAAATGCTTCCTCTTACCAGTGAAGGAAAGTAACCAGTTCCTTTCTTTGACAATGAGGTGCTGTTGATCTCTGTAGACAGATGAGTGACACTATAGAATGCTGGGTCTGAGTTTTCATTCTAGCAAGAGAACTACCACATATGTTGACCAAGCTGTATTAGTTACGTCTCTCGCAGAGAAAATGCAGCGAGACACTGGCACAGACTCACACCAACCCTAACAGGACAGCACCTTTCCCTGATACATCCCTGCTCTTCATCTTTCTGAGCATAAACCAAAACATACCAATTCTCTTAGGAGTAACTCTGAGAACAATGGTGCTGGAACAGTACAATGGTCCATACAGTCCATATGTACCTAAACAACTTTTAAACCTTGCTTACAATTGGTTTTACTGGCCCTTATGGCTGTGAGTTCCACAAATGAACAATTTTTTTTTTATCTGTTGCTACAAACAGCTTTTGTGGTAAATTACCATCCCAGTTTACAAATGGAGAATGAACATTGTTTGTACAATTACTTCCTTCTTTCAAGTTTAAATTTTTGGGGTTTTAAGTTTATGCTGATATCCTTCTGGTTTATATGATATGGAAGAAGCTCACTGTCTTCATTTTTAATTATCTCACATACATTTCAAGCCATCTTATTTGCCTTCTTTCTAAACTTCTTCAGTGTTTTCAGTCTTTACTGGGACTCTAATGATCACATCTTTCTAAATAGAGTCTATTTCTGCCATAGCCTTTTTTTAGAGTTAGGGTGGCCAGAACTAAACATAACATTCCATCTGAAGGTGTACCAGTGGCATAAATGATGGTATTATTGTATTTCCTGTATCATTTTCCAAGTCATCACTTGCACCCTTGAATTTTATGCTTTAGTGGTAATTGTGCATTAAGGTAGATGTCTTTATTGTTTCAAAATTATAATCTTTTAATGCAAGTCTCGTGTTCCATGGTAAACTGAATATTTCTGAGTATGAGAAAGATCAAATTTCTCTACTGTCTACATGGCAATTTGTATAGACTGGGAGCCACAGCAAATCTAAATTCTCGCCTGTAACATCTGAGTTGGGCCTCATTAATTCAGCATGTGGGCAGAATGCATTATTTGCAGTCACCACACCTTTCCTGACTGTTCTCTTTCTGGGCTTTTCAAAAAGAGGACTGGGCAGGATTCTATTTATAGAGCCAAATAAATCAAAACCTGCCTGTGTCGTACATGATACCTCTAGCCTTTCAGGTGTGGTCCCATGAAGTGTTGAATGCCTTTGGTAGCATGGCCTACTTCTGCCAATCCCAGAAAAAAAAAGTGGGATTTGGGAGATCTGGGACCATAGGAGGTGAAAGAAATAGCTTTGTACTAACGTAAATGTGAAATGATTCCAGTATGCAGGACAAAAGGAGCTAAAGTTCCTGCTCTTTGAGAGATTTCTACCATTATGTGAACTTCATTAATTATCTTGTCTGCCAGTTTGGAAGTGTCTGGAAGTGACTTAGTTCCTGTTCTGATGACTTCAGTGTTGGATTCTGACAATGATCAGATGCTCCCCCTAAAATAGCATGGGCATAATAGTGAGAGAAAGAGAGTAAGATGCGTGGGACTGAAGAACAAGGCAATATGGAGTTGGGAGTAGAAAAGAAAGTAGTTTGGGCATTACTCCACTCACGCAAAGACATGAGGCTGAATGAAGGGATTCGATGGTGTAGAAATTTTGCAAGATCAAGAAGGAGCAGGAAAGATGCAAGGTTAAAAGTGTGGAAATAGAAGCCTGCATAGGACGAGTATATAATTGGTTAAAAAACACCATCCAGACAGGATCTGTGCTGATGGCCATACAGCAGCAGCAACCCTGGAATGACTTGCTCCCCCTTAAGAAACAACCAGAAATGGCAGGGAGAAGAATGGAGGCTCTTGCTCTGCTTGGTCTTGCAGAAGAGTAGACTTAAGGGAAGAATAGATGGGAGTGGGCAGGCCGTGTTGTCTGCTGGAGAAGATGCTGTTGACTTATAGTGAGATCATGGGCAAAACACTTCACCAGTCTGTTTTTCTACTGCAGCTGAGCTGTTTCTTGCTACATGCATGGACAAGTGTAATAGTGCTACTACGGTGCTAAAAATAATAACACCCAAATATGTGCAACTGCCATTAAAACTAGAAGAGCACTGCAAGGAATCAGATCCCAGGTCTCCAGTCCTTGTTGTTTGCACACGTAATCCTTGCGGATTTGGCCTTCCTCATAAAAATGCCACCTGAGTTACAAAGCAGATGGTCACAAATAATCTTTTTCACATATTTTTCTTTGTAGGAAAATGCTCCAGGACAAATCAAAAGCTGAGGTATGTGATGCAACTCTGGAAATTTCAGCAGAGCTGCTCTGACTTATGCTATGTTTCAGTTTAGCCCCTGTGTGACACTCCAAGGATGCCAAACTTACAGGAGTAGATTTCTGAAGGTGTGGTCTGAGGGCTTGTACACATGGAGCAGGCAGGGATCCTGAGATAGCTATTTTTTTTTTTATCAACCCCCAGCACTGGAAGCAGAACAGACACTGTGCTGCCCTGGTCTTCAGCTTGCATCTCCATGTGGCCCTGCCATGTGGAAGCCCTGCCACGTGCTTGAGGTTCTCCACCCTGTGCTCCGTGGACAGGAGGGTTGTGCTGAGGAAAGCAAGATTGGGCCAATTTGCTAGAACTGGCTATTAAAATTGCAGCAGGTTTCCAAAGCAGCTGATAAAAAACTGCATCTGCAAGCTCCATTCCCTGGTGTTGCCCAGGCTTGGCTGCTCCTGCTGACCAGCCTGCTGAGGCTTGGATGGATTTCCATGCTCAGCCCTGCCCCATAAAGAGGAGTTACTATTCCAGCAGCACATTCTTGATTAGTGCCTTCCAGGATAGCACGTGTCAAGGGAACGGCTACAGAGTCCTTCTCCCATCCAATGCATCCAGCTCTGGGTTTGGCATGCCCATCATCACCTCAGTGCTGTTGAAAGTAATTGGAGATTAGACATCTACACGCCCTTGGAAATTTACCTCTTGCTAAAGTGACTGCACACCTCTGTGCCCCTTGAATGCTTTGACTTGTATTCTGGTAATATAAGGGGGCACTGAGCTGCAAGGGAAGTCCATCAGAAATACCTTGCAAACTCCAGTATTCTGGAACCCATAGGGATGTGTGAAGACAGTGGCAAACTGGCAGAGTTACAAAAGTGGGTCAATTCACCTGTTAGGTATTCTAGGTCAGGTAGTAAGAAGCAAATAAGCTCTTTATGTTGCCTAAATTACAAGTGGGTAAACTTCATGTACTGGCATTTATCCCTGACTACCCTGCTAAAGGAATGCGCTCCAAAATGGCTTGTGCTGAAGAGGACAGAGTCAAGTACTTTTGATGGAGGAAAGTAAGTCAGCAGCCCCCAAACGGTCTAGTGTTAATGGATCTAATGCTTCCCCTCCCCTACCTGGTGCAATAATTTTTCTCTAGGGATTAAGCTTAAGAAAGAATCAGCCAAGCCCTTGTGTAGCTTGTGGTTTGGCTTCCTGCCTGCTCTGCCCTTCAAGCAGGAAATTCTCAAAGGGAAGGGAGTGCTTTGTGAAGCTACCTTAAGACTCTGCCTCTTCTCTTTTAGTCAGAACTTAGCATCAGGTCATCTGGAACTCCTGGAAGCTGACCAGACAGACTGATGGCGCCTACAGAAGGTATTTAAGCAACTTCTCTACCTTGATCATTTTCCCTCATCTTTTGTCCTTTACGTCCTTGATTGCTGTTATTCAATCCTGAGATAATACACTCCTGATATCTGTGAGATGGGAGAGACAAGCAAGGAGGAAGAGATCAAAGGAAGGAGAAGAAAGAGAAGATGCCAAAGGCAGAAGAAGAAAGCAGGAAGATGCCAAATACTTCCTTGATTTACCTACTTTACATACATGGTACACAAAGTTTCAGAAATTCTTATAATATACTTAATTTTCAGAGTTCTGGGGTTACCACGTAGTCACCAGACAGCAGGAGACTGTCAGCAGGGGCCACGCGCATCCTCCTTCCACCAGCAGAGGAAGTAGCTTGAAAGCTGGATCCAGAAAACCCAGGAGGCTCTTGGCACCCGTAGGTGTTGGCTGGACTTGAAAAGAAACCCAGAAGAGTGCAGGCTGGGAAAAGAGCATGGTTTTAAACTATCTTTCTGCTTCCCTCTGCTGGACAGATAACAGAAGTATCAATATTCCTACAAATCAGGGAAAGATCAGGGT